AACTTGTCGAGGATTTTCACAAACAGTACCAGTCTCTCTACGCACAATATGATTATCTCAGAGCAGAGATGGGGAAAAAGGCTCCAGTCAGGAAAGAGAAGGAAAGTTCTTCCTCTTCATCCTTCTCCGATTCAGAGTATTATTCTCCAGACATAGGCAGTAGCCTTATCATAGATATGCATCTTGAAGCATCAGACGGCACCGCTGGAGAACTTGATGCTGCAAGCTTAGAAGTAACTGGGCTGAAGCATAGGTTGACCTCTGCTACTGCTGAAAACGAAGCTTTACGCAACAAATACAGCGCAGAATTACAAGAAGCAGACACCGTCAACAAGCAAAATAGGGAACTTTCAGCTCTTGTGAAGGTACATGAGCTTCATGACAGTCAGGCATCAGCTCAGATAAAGGAGCTAGAGGGACAGTTAGCTACACTGAAAACTGAGATGGATTCCTTGTACACCCTGAAGAAAGATTTCGAGGCACAGGTTGAAAACAAAGCAGCTGAAGCTAAACATCTTCAAGAGAAAAACTCACAGCTACTTTCACGTGTTTCGGAACTTGAACTGATGTCAAAAGAGAAAGGGGATGAGATATCTACAATCCAGAAGCAACTGAAGGATGGTGAGAAGAATTTCACATCTAAAATTGAAGATCTAATGACACAGGTCAACAATCTGCAATTGGAGACGGTTTCTTTACGTTCTCAGAATGCTAAACTGGAAGCGAGTAAGCGGAAGGAAGCATCAGCTCAAGCCAAGGGCTTAAAGAACCGAATAAATAATTTGCAGAAGGAATTGGACTCCTTTCGAGGTGAGAGATCTCAGCTGGAAGCTCAACTGAACATGAAAACCAAAGAAGTTGCTGAAAACCTGCTCTGGACAGAGACTTTGGAAGGTGAAATAGCAAGGAAGGCTATAACTGAACAGGAACTGCTAAAAGAGAAAGAAACCTTTCTTGTGCAAAGAGAGGACCTGGAACTAGAAGCGAACTCTATCCGAAACCAAAAGAACAGGCTGGAAGAGCTGATGAGAAGTAAGAACCAAGAGACAGATCAATTGCGAGAAGAAGGGGAGAGGATGCACGCTAGAATACTCGAACTGGAAGGGATCTTATTAGATAGAGGGGATTCCTTTTCTCCTTGTCAGAAAGAATATGAGAGCAGAGAGAATGAAGCTTCTACTCAGATTATGGCCTTGAAATCGCAGGTTTTTAGCTTACAACAGGATTTGGATTCCTTGCTGAGTGAGAAGAGTTTATTGGAGACACAAAACGAGAGACTAAGGCGAGACATTATGCAAATCCAGTTTCAGATGGAAAATGAAGTTCACAATTTAACGAGCAAGATTGAAGAGCAGCAGAAAATCCTGAAGGACAAGGAGGATACTGTAAAAAAGCTAACTGAGGAGACTAAAGTAGTCAGACACCATTTGCTGGATTCTCCAAAATATCGGTCATTGGATTCTCCAAAATATCGGTCGCTGGATTCCCCAAGGACAAATCCTCAATCTTTAGAAAGGAAGATAGAAGAACTAGCAGGGAGCTTCCACATGAAAATGGAAAATCATATTCGAATCTTGTATCAGAGGATTTTAGTTGCCGAACATATTCATGCTGAAACCAAAGATGGCTACAAGAAGATGAAAGACAGACTGGATCAAGAAAACATAGAGCTTAATGAAAAAACAACAGCATTTGAAGCTGAATTGAGGAAGATAAGGGAGATGTTATTGGATGCAGGAGAGGTATTTTCAGGAGCGGAAGCAATGCTCAAGAAATTCTACGAGGACACTGAAATTCTCTCGGACCCCATTTGCCGAATCTCAAACGAGCTTCAGTTTGCGAAGAGATGGATCACAGAAACAAAGGATGAGATAAAAAAGCTGAAACATAACGTGGATAGTTTGACATTGCAACTGAATGGCAAGGAAGAGAAGGAGCTCTTGTTAAGAGAAAAGGTGTGGAAACTGGAAGCAAAGCTGAGCAAGGAAGGAGGAGAAAAGCTGAATTCTGTTAGTCAGCTTGAGAGAAAGGTCGTATATTTGGAGCAGCAGGTAAAACACAAGGAAGACATTTTTCTGGGTGTTGGTGAGGAGAAGAGGGAGGCCATAAGGCAGCTTTGTATCTTGGTCGATTACCATCGCAGCCGCTATGATCATCTCAGAGAAGCACTATCAAAGAGGACTGTTCATATCAAGAGAGTGGCTTAGAAGAGATTTGCGACATTTTCTTCTTTTGTTTATTAATGCTGTTATTCTGGTTTTAACAACATTAATCCTTTCATTAAACAAACAGCTTGTAAATTAGTTCCAATATTTGTTCAATAATCAAATATGGCATCGTCTTTCTTCGTAGCCTGTTTTGCTTTTTGTTAATTTGTTCAACCTTTTCTTCTCATGGAGATTGCACATGGTGTCAAACAACCATCTCTGCTCAAAAGACTTTCTTAAGAAAGAGCTGCACATGTCCACTGACATCTTATACTTAGTTTTGTTAGATAAAATAGTTTAATTTCAATAGATAGAATTAGGATGATAAAATTTGCTCATGATCGCGCTATTCTCTAACATATGAAAGATTGGTTTTTAGCTGAAACACAGATAAATTATCAAATAAGAAAAATAAGAATAAAAATTTTAACAAACATTAAGTGAGGAGAGGAATTCACTGTTCCCTCCTCGCATGATTTTTTTTAAATTATTAATTTTATTTTTTATATTAAATTTAAACTTAATAATTTATTTTATTTTAATTTTTATTAAGTTATCTTAATAACGTGATCTAAATTATAAATTTAATGAGTTAACACGGTTAATTTGAGTTTTTTTTTGTTTTTCTTAATCAATTTATTTTTTCAATTTTATCCTTTATTGTTTAATCAAATAAAAATTAGGTTTCATAATTTATTTTAGTATATTTTATATGATATTATTCTGATTTCATGAATAGGATCACAAATTTAATTGGTTAACCTGATTAACTTAGATAATTAGATTAATTGAGAATTATATCTCATGATTTATTTTAATTTATCTTTACTTTCTATAAGGTTATCATAATCTCTAATGATACAAGTCACGAGTTTAACTAGTTAACCGAATTGGTTCAAGTTATTTTTTATTATTTTTAATTAATTTTTATTTTTATTTTATTATTTGATATTTGATTGATTGAAAATTAAAATTTATAATTTATTTCTATTTATTTTTTATAGGATTATCTAGATCTTTTATCCTATATAGATTTAACAAGTTGGCAATAATTAATTTAGATCAATTTAATATGTTATTATTTTAATTTTTTTGAGTTAAAGTAAGTTATCTAGAATTTATGAACTTGTTAAATTAACTAATTTACATCAAATAAATCTTTTTTTTAAATAAAATGTTAATAATATCTCGATTTTTTTGTATTTAAAGTTTTTTGATTTCCCAATAATTAACCTACAATATAGGGGTATCCGTTTCTGATGATGCAATCGGCCACAGGCTCAAATCCGTATAACCTCTGAACCTGGCTGTATTTTATATAGATATATATATATATATATATGCGAGAGAGAGTAGAATTGGTTATCAAGAAAGCGGCAAGGGTTGTGATCTAGCACAATAAGAGTGTTAGGCTTGTTTAATTTGTGATTGGTAAGCTGTTGTATAATATTTTTTTATTTTTGATATTAATACATCAAAATTATAAATAAATAAAAAATTAATAATTTAATATTTTTCATATAAAAAAAAATTGAAAAATGAATTGCAAAAACAAAGAATAACTAGCTACCAAGAATATGTTTTTTTTTAAAAAAAAATTAATATTCTTTATTATGGAAAAGGGATCATCTAGAATCGTGTAAATATTTTGTTAAGTGTGGATTTCCTTTTTGTTGATATCTCACTATTCATTATATTTCTATTTCTATTTTCTGTTTTTTAATAATTATTTTCTCTTTATAGTTAGCTTTAATTTTCCTATCATAATATTTATTTTTTCTATAGTAGCCTTGTTTAGTACAAAAAAGAAAGAAAAACAATAATAAAGAAAGAAAATAATAAAAATAATTTTCTTTTTTCTATTTCAAGTGTAGATTTCCATCTAGAAATATTAGGATTTACTTCTCATTCTTTTTAAAGCCAGAGAAAATCATTAATATGCCAATGCCAATAGAATAAATAACGTGACCAATTACACTCGTAGCTTAATAGTTGAAGATGATAACTGGAAATGAAATGGAAAAGGAAAGGAAAGAAGGAAACAAGAATATATATATATATATATATCAACATTTATATTTATAAGAGAAAATAATTTGGGTATTTGCTAAAGAAAATATGAAAACAAGATATTATGCGGAGATAAGTGATCATAGATGATAATAAAGAGAAAATAAAATAAAATAAGGTTTATAATATTAAAAAGTATCATTCATTATATCTAAATAAAATTAAGAGTTAATAACTAGTGTGAAATTATTTAAAAAATAAAGCATATCCATTGAATTAAAGAATATCTTCTTCTTTTTTGTCTCTATTTCTATTCAGATAAATAGAAAGGACAAATTTGTGAAATGGGTATAATTGTCATTTACTTATGCCATCACGAAGGCTATATATTGAGTATTATTGGTTTAATGAAATTCGGTGACTGAGAAATGATTTTCCTATTTTTCTCTCCACTCGAAATTAAAAACCACATGAACCATTCGGAAAAGGCATGATTGGTGGAGAATATACATGCACGAGCACAGTGAATAAACACTCAAATCCAGACAAGATATCCACCTAGGCGCGGGAAACAACTCATACAAATGGGCCCCACAAACTACCAATCATTTCTTTATTTCCGAGAAAATAAAATCTCCCGTTTTCCCCAGCAAAAACTCACGATATTTCTCTTCACATTCAGTGACATCTCAGTGGCTTTATTGCAATAAAAAGCAAAGTAGGAGGATGATTAGATCAAGAGAGAACGTTCCAAAGATTCCATCCTCCCCCTGAAATTGAAAAGCAAGAAAATGCTGTACCGGTCGTTTTGAAACTCTCGCTCTGTCTCTCTCTCTTCAGTTTCAAATTTTAGAGCGTTTCGTTTTTCTCAAGTTTCTTCCGAGCTGGAATTACAGGTAATTAATTCTTGATTATGATCTTGATCAATCTCAGAATTTTTTGCACCTGATTTATGCTGAACTAGGAATTTCAGCTTTTTAACTTCATTTGCTTATGTTACTCCATCTGATCATTTGAAGTTCGTTTCTAGTGGACTAAATAGTTAATTTCTGATTGATTAGCATATGTTGATCGTTTCCTGCTTGTTTGGTCGTTTATTTGTTTAGTTTCTTGATTTTAATCTTTTTATTGACTGTGTTGGTTAAGGTTTTTGCTAGTCTGATTAAAAGTAATCACGTTACGATCATGATTTTTTCTAGTTCCGGTTCAATTTTTCTTCTTCTTCTTCTTCTTCTTTTTTGAAGATTGATTGTATTTTTTAGCTGGAAATCTCTCTGGTTGATTGTTTAGTTTTAATTTTTTCTTTCTTCTTTTTTTTAGTTCAAATCTTGGAATTTTTTGGCAAGCGTGAGCTAAGCTTACCAGGGAAGATTGAAAGTGAAAGCAAAGGAAATTTCCTGGTAAGCAAAAAAAGAAGATTTTCTTTAATTTGACTTTATGCCGTTTGTAGGTTTCTATGGTGGAAAAATAGTTTCAAGCTTTGAAAGTGGATTTTAATATGAATCTTAAATCAGTGTTAATTATGTTTGAGGAGTAGCGTGTTATATTACTGGAAAAAGAAAATACCAAAAAGAACAGCTCACTTTTAACAATATTAAGCTGTCATTTTCTACTCTTGAAAGAATTCTCATTTGGCTTCTACTTATTCTGGGGTGCTTTGATTTGATTCCTTATTAGTGGTTATGAGGTGGTGCCAGATCTGTAATGACATGTTTGGCTGTTTAATTATCCATTTTTAGTTGAAAAATGGTCTTTTAAGAAGGGGAAGTTATTGGTGTGTTGGGTCCATAGTTTTGAAAAAATGGCTCTTTTAGTGGGCTTGTTACAGTGAAAAGAAGATGGGATTTTGAAAATGGGTGGATCTGAAATATGGTTATTAGTGAGGATACACAACTTTTTTTGCTTGGTTGTGATTGGGAATCCAAATGTGACATGGGTTTTTATCTGTGTTTGATTTTACCTAATGAAACGATGATGTTAGCGGGTGTTTGGGATCATTTTATAATTTGTCTTTTAATAGCTGAGTTTTAGTAGGGACCGGTCATATCCGGTTTAACAGCTATACTTTCAAAACAGTCTTTCACTCGCATCTCATACAGATATAGCCTTTTAAGTGTATCAAAGAAATACTCAGATTTTATTAATTCAAACTGGATTGATTTTCATTTCACTATCAACATCTGATTCTGTTTTTCAAATTTCATCAAAGTTAACATCAAATCGGAGCTATTATCCTGTTTCTAGGATGATGGTGAGAATTTTATTGATGTTGGGACATTTGTATAACCATGAGTTGCAGGCTTTCTGTCGAAGTTATATCATTAGCGTAGAACAGGTCAAAGTCAATTTCTTTACTGATTGATGTATTTCACAAATAGAGCCTGGTAAGTGATGTTTGAATAGTTCAATAAGATCTCTGACTTTCTGCTTGAATGATTTCATTTGTGTGGTGTTCGCTTCGAATGACTGATCTTGCAAGCCACTTGTTGATCATTTATCTTCTCACGGCTGACCCACTTCATTTAATTGCGTAAACGCATGTTCAACTTTGGTAAACCATGAATAAGCAGCTGGAAGCTTATTGTGTTTAATTATCAAAATCCTGATGTGCAGATTTTATAATTTTGAGCAGAAGATGGAGAATGCATTTCTGACCATATAGCTGTCAAGGAACGTCAGATTGAAAATTTAAAGAGGATGACAAAGAAAAAGCACCATTTCCGTGAATCATTAAAATCCTTCATTGGAACTCACATTGATCCGGAGAAAGATGAACAGCTAAAAGAAACTAAAACAGGTGATTTTCTGTACCAGTAATTTTGGAGATGGTGAAATGGCATTATGAAAACTGGAAAAAATGAATTTTATCACCTTTCTCAGAGCACATTTTGAGTTGTCTCTGCAGGCTTATTGTTTTGTGCCTTAAGCTCATCTTTTCCATTGTAAATTTGGTCAATATTTAACTTTAAGACCTTTCCTGCTCAGAAATTGATGACAAGGTAAAAAGGATCTTGAAGCTTATCAAAGAGGAAGATCTTGAAGAACAAGATGGCCTCTCAGTGGAAAACTCCAAAAAGGAGCCTCTTCTTGAGCTAATTGAGGATGTCCAGAAACAGTACCATTTGCTATATGGACAATATGATCATCTGAAGGGAGAGCTGAGAGAGAAAGTTAATGGCAAACATGGAAAAGATACCTCATCTTCATCTAGCTCCGACTCAGAATCTGATGATTCTTCTAAGCACAGAGGCAGTAAAAATGGTCATTTTGAAAGTGAAAAGATAACAGATGGCATAAAGCAAGAACTTGAAGCGGCGAATCTAGACGTTGCTGAACTGAGGAGTAAGTTGAGAGCTACAAGTGAGGAAAGGGATGCTTTAAAGTGGGAACATCAAACAGCTTTGAACAAGATACAAGAAGCAGAAGAAATCATCAGAAATTTGAGGCTTGAAGTTGAACGATCAGGTGCTGGCAAAGCACAACTTTTGATTGAGAATGGAGAACTGAAGCAAAAACTAGATTCTGCTGGCGTGATAAAAGCAGAACTGAATCAAAGACTGGAGGAATGGAACAAAGAGAAAGAGAGCCTGATTTTGGAGAAAGAGGCTGCCATGAGAAGCGTTGAAGAGAGTGAGAAGATCAGAGAAGCTTTGAAGTTAGAATATGAGACAGCTTTGATCAAGATTCAAGAAGAAGAGGAGGTCATCAGAAATTGGAAGCTTGCAGCTGAAAGCTCAGACACTGACAAAACCCGACTTTTGGCTGAGAATGGGGAACTGAAGCAAAAACTAGAAGCTGCTGGCGTGATAGAAGCAGAACTGAATCAAAGACTGGAGGAACTGAACAAAGAGAAAGATGGCGTGATTTTGGAGAAAGAGGCTGCCATGAGAAGCATTGAAGAGAGCGAGAAGATCAGAGAAGCTTTGAAGTTGGAATATGAGACAGCTTTGATCAAGATTCAAGAAGAAGAGGAGGTCATCAGAAATTTGAAGCTCAAAGTTGAAAGCTCAGACGCTAGTAAAGCACGACTTTTGGCTGAGAATGGAGAACTGAAGCAAAAACTAGATTCTGCTGGCGTGATAGAAGCAGAACTGAATCAAAGACTGGAGGAACTGAACAAAGAGAAAGATGGCATGATTTTGGAGAAAGAGGCTGCCATGAGAAGCATTGAAGAGAGTGAGAAGATCGGAGAAGCTTTGAAGCTGGAATATGAGACAGCTTTGATCAAGATTCAAGAAGAAGAGGAGGTCATCAGAAATTTGAAGCTCAAAGTTGAAAGCTCAGACGCTAGTAAAGCACGACTTTTGGCTGAGAATGGAGAACTGAAGCAAAAACTAGATTCTGCTGGCGTGATAGAAGCAGAACTGAATCAAAGACTGGAGGAACTGAACAAAGAGAAAGATGGCATGATTTTGGAGAAAGAGGCTGCCATGAGAAGCATTGAAGAGAGTGAGAAGATTGGAGAAGACTTAAGAATCTTGACTGATCAGCTGCAAGAAGAAAAAGCTACCACAGGGCAAGAACTAGAAGCTCTTAAAGCGGAACTTTCTATCATGAAGCAGCAGCTGGAATCTGCAGAACATCAAGTTGCAGAATTTACCCATAATCTGAGTGTCACCAAGAAGGAGAATGATTCTCTTACCTTGAAATTATCTGAAATCTCAAATAAGATGGAGCAGGCACAAAACACAATCGATGGACTCGTAGGTGAATCGAGTCACTTAAAGGATAAATTGGGTGACAGGGAAAGGGAGTATTCATCTCTTGCAGAGATGCACGAGACACATGGGAATGAATCATCAACTAGGATAAATGGATTAGAGGTGCAAGTAAGAGGTCTGGAGCTGGAGCTGGAATCATTGCAAGCCCAGAATAGAGATCTTGAGGTGCAGATTGAAAGCAAGGTGGCTGAAGGAAAGCAACTGGGAGAACAGAATCAGGGATTAGAAGCCCGGATTTTGGAACTTGAAATGATGTCAAAAGTGAAAGGGGATGAACTTTCTGCTCTCATGAATAAACTCAAGGAAAATTATAATGAATCATTCTCTAGAACAGAGAGTTTGACAGTGCAGGTCGATACTCTGCTAGCAGACTTCAAATCTATTCGTGCCCAGAAAGCAGAATTGGAGGAACAGATGGTAAGTAGAGGTAATGAAGCATCGACTCGAGTTGAGGGGCTTATTGATCAGGTCAATGAGTTACAACAACAACTGGAGGCTCTACGCAGCCAGAAAGTTGAACTTGAAGTGCAACTCGAGAATAAAACTCTAGAAATTTCAGAATATCGAATTCTGATAGAAAATCTGAAAGAGGAGATAGTAAGCAAGACTGAAGATCAACAAAGAGTCCTGGCAGAAAAAGAAAGTTGCTCAGCACAAATCAATGATCTGGAACTAGAGGTGGAGACTCTATGCAACCAGAAAACTGATCTTGGGGAGCAAATAAGTACTGAAACCAAGGAAAGGGAGCGATTGGGAGAGGAAATGGTGAGATTACAAGAAAAGATCCTTGAAATGGAAAAAACACAAACAGAGAGAGAGTTCGAGTTATCTGCCCTCCAGGAGAGACATACAAATGGGGAGATTGAAGCTTCTGCTCGGATAATGGCTCTAACGGAACAGGTCAACAATCTGCGTCAGGAATTGGATTCTTTGCAGACTGAGAAAAACCAAATGCAATTGCAGCTTGAAAAAGAGAAGGAAGAATTTTCAGAAAACCTAACCGAAATGGAAAATCAGAAATCTGAGCTCGTGAGCCAGATTGCAGAGCAACGGAGAATGCTGGATGAACAGGAGGAGGCACACAAAAAGCTAAATGAGGAGCATAAGCAAGTTGAAGGCTGGTTTCAGGAGTGCAAGTTGAATCTTGCAGTAGCAGAAAGGAAAGTTCAAGACATGGCAGAAGAATTCCAAAAGCATTTGGGTTCTAGAGATCAGATGGTAGAGCAGTTGGAAGAAATGATTGAGGACCTGAAAAGAGATCTTGAAGTAAAAGGAGATGAAATCAACACCTTGGTAGAGAATGTGCGAAATATAGAAGTTAAGCTCCGGCTGTCAAACCAGAAGCTCCGTGTCACAGAACAATTACTAACAGAGAATGAAGACACCTTTAGAAAAGCGGAAGAGAAGTATCAACAAGAGCAGAGAGTGCTTGAAGAAAGGGTTGCTGTATTGTCTGGGATAATCACCGCAAATAATGAAGCTTATCACAGTATGGTTGCAGATATCTCAGAAAAAGTAAACAATTCATTGTTAGGACTGGATGCTTTGACCATGAAATTTGAAGAAGATTGCAACAGGTATGAGAACTGTATTTTGGTAGTTTCAAAGGAGATTCTGATTGCGAAGAATTGGTTTGTGGACACAAATAATGAAAACGAAAAATTGAGAAAGGAAGTAGGTAATTTAGTTGTGCAGCTACAAGATATAAAAGAACGCGAATCAGCATTAAAGGAGAAGGTTGAGCAGTTAAAGGTCAAGGTGAGCAAGGAAGGAGTGGAGAAGGAGAATTTGACCAAAGCTATCAACCAACTGGAGAAAAAGGTGGTAGCATTGGAGACGATGATGAAAGAAAAGGAAGAGGGGATATTAGACCTCGGAGAGGAGAAGAGGGAAGCAATAAGGCAGCTATGCATATGGATTGAATATCACCAAAGTCGCTATGATTATCTCAGGGAGATGCTCTCAAAAATGCCCATTAGAGGCCAGAGGGCATCTTAGGATCCCTCCATAATATTTCTCATTACAGTATATTCATTTGGGTTTTTCATTGTGATGGGTTGCTTTTCATTTCTTAATTATTTTTTTTGATTCAGAAAGTTTTGTTGATAAGAATATCCTATTGATGATTGTTTTTTAAATATTTGTTAGTAAATGTCGAAGCTAGCTTGCACGAGATTCATCAGTTACATTATACAGAATTTATGTTGCCCCCTTGATTTTGCTGAAAACAATAGCTAAATCGTTATCTCTCGTAGAACCTAAGTTTCCTTTCGGCAACTAGTCTTTCTCACTAGCCCTTGTATTATGTGAACTGGAACATGAATTCAACATATAAAGGTAAGAGCACTGAATTGAGGGATTAATGATAAGTTTTGCCTGTGTGTTCTTGTCTTTCTCGTGCATAAATTTATTTATAGGGTCTGCATTTACTTTGTTTTGTTAGAGGTTTTTTTTTATCCTTCTATCATATTTTTGTCAAGATGAGTGTTACGTGTAATGACCACCTCAGATTTGAAAATATATAAAAAAATTAAAAACATAAATATAAAAATTAAAGTGTTTGTATCGAATATTTTTTTATGTTACGACTTTGGCTTGTAAACACAAAAATATTATACGTGTTTTTTTTTAAATATTAAATTCGAAATTATTGGAAGAACTTTTTTATGGAGAGAGCAAATTCTTTTTCAGTAAATGAAAAATATGTTATATAAAACGACATCGAACAAAAAATTGAAAATTAACATGTAAAACCCAAAACTAATAAACCTTATCCTTACTTACCTTGGCTTTATATTGCCTAACTCACAGCTTCCGGCTAGCTTTTCAAGTAATGCCTTTTTGCATGAAAGGTATTTGACAATCTGTCCCGTGAAAAAGAAAGAAAAGATGTAGCCATGATGAAAAAACAATTATGTCTTCACCAATGACCCCAGCCACCATGAAATTAGGGTCCGGTCAATTTTTTTTTTTTTTGGTACAATGAAAAAATAAGAACAAACTAAACTCAAGAACTCATGGAATCTCTAAGCATGAGGGCATTTAATCCTGAAGGTGAGTCTTCTCGGATGCAAAACTTTGATAAATTTTGAGCTTCATGCTTAGCCAAGAAATCAGCACATGAGTTAGCTTCCCTTAACATATAAGCAAGACGGACCAAGATACAGTTCATGGTGAAGGCAGCTTCCCTTAACATATAAGCAAGACGGACCTCCCAATCCTTTAAGAAAAGCCCTTTGATATCCATGATAATAGCCACAAGCCTATGAAAAATGGAGTTTCCCTCGTGAAGGCATTCAGAGAATCAGAATTGCAGATGATCCTCCTAAAGCCTTGATTCTAAGCAAGAGATAATCAATGTTTAATAGCTAGAGGTTATGAAAGCAGGTTAGTGCCAATGCCACCAAACCGATAAAATTATTTCTAATGATGCCTCCAAAACCATTCTTCCCAGGATTACCTTGCGAGCTCCCATCAATATCCAATTTCACAAACCCCTCAACAGGTCTACACCAAGAAATGGTAATTTGATGTTTACAGTTGACAATAGGCCTGGTGAAAGCATTACGAAGATCATCCTTAAGAAGGATAATCTACCTTAAAGTCCAACTGTCACCTATATAATTATCACCGTATACAATAATGTTATTGCACCTCCAGATCCATCATATACCCAAAAGAAAAATGAAAGACTCGTTGGAAGAACCAATATCTCTACACCAGAACCACATCAGAGTTCCGAAAATCATGAGCATTAACAAAACCCAACTTTTTCCACATGTCCCTAGAAAGCTCGCAAACAATGCAAAGTAGTCTCTTCCTCCTGGTTATAGCAGCCACAAATGGAAGAGTTAGCAATGTTCCTTATGTATCTAAACATGTTTGTGGGAAAACTATCATAGACAGTCTGCCAAAGCATCATGCATTTTTTTCTTTCTCAAAAGCCTTTAATTTCCAAACCCAAGGCCATATAGAATTAACAAGCAGTGTCTTTGATCTGTTCAGTAACCAAAGAAATGTTGGTTTAGAGGTATAAAAACATGTATCATTCATTCCTCAAATCACCATGTCAGCTGGACAAGGAGTGGGGGGAATATAGACTGTCATGAGGAGGTGTTTCACAAAGTCAGGCAGCACCATCACCTAGTTGTTGAAATTCCAAGTACCGACAAGCCACAAGTCTTTGATTCTTAAGTCTGAATCACTGATGTGTACCATATCAATTTTCCCACTAATATCCACTTGTCAAACCAAAAGGAGAGCTCCCCTCTACCAACCTTATATGAGAACGCATCACGTAATAGAATGAAAGCTTTATGAATAGCTTTCCATGTGATAGATGCATTAAAACAGGGTGCTGCTAATCTTTGCGAAAAATGAGTATGCCTCTAAGTATTTATGCTTCAGAATGTAAACCCATTGTTTCTCCCCATCACTACGAATCTGTCATACTAGCTTGCCTAGCAAAACAATAGTAGCTAGCCTTGATTCTCTGATTTCTAACCCCTTAAAATTTCCTCGGGTGTGAAATTGTATTCCAATTTATAAAATTAAAACTGTGTCCTGTATCAGACCTGCTCCAAATAAAGTTTCTAATGATTTTGTCAATACCATTTCAAATAGCCTGAGAAAGCCATAACGTCTGCATATATTATATGGGGATAGTACTAATCATTGATCTAGCAAGAATAACCCTCTCTACCCTGTTCAACAATCGACCATTCCAAGATGCCAACTTTGATTCAATCCTCTCCAGGATGAAGTTGAAATCAGATTTTTTTAGCTCTTCCCTGCATCAATGGGAAGCCAAGATACTTACCCAGGTTACTAGCAAACTTCATTGTAGAGAGCTGGGAAGTTCACGTTTGAGCTACCTGCCAACATTTCTAAAGCACATGACTCAGAGATTGCTCCAAATTAACTTTTAATCTTTACACATTACAAAAGCTAGTGAGAACACTAGCGAGGGCATGTATTTAAGCCTTGCTGGCTTTTGTAAATAACAGAACGTCATTTGTAAAGAAAAGGTGTGAGATGTTCATAAGGTGTCAGGACTTATCTAAAACCTTCTTGTTAATCAGGTAGGCTAATTTCCTCATACACAAAACAAATATATAAGAAGAAAGAGGGTCATCTTAACGCAACCCATGATTATAAATGAATGATGGGAGCTTCAAACCATTCTCAAAAAAAAGTGAGGGAAGATGCCCAGACACATAATATAATTAGATTAACAATAGTTGTTGGAAAGCCAAACTGCTCAAGATTAGTCTGAAGGAAGTCCTAATTAACTCTGTCATAAGCTTTCTCTATATAGACTTTTGCAGCTAAAGCTCCATGTTTATTTATGATCCTGTGCATATAATGCATTACCTCCTGATCAATCAAAGCATTATCAGAAGTACTATGACCCAGAATAAAATTGCTCTGAAGGGGACCAATGAGATCATCAAGATAAGGATGTAGCCTATTCATTAGAACTATTATAATTAGCTTGTAGATAACACGATACACACTAATTGGGCAGAAATGTTTAAAATTGGTTGGCCTCTCCTATTTAGGAATTAAAACCACGAGAGTTTTTGCGATATCCCTGTTAAAATTCTCATTCTCAGTAGCTTTATGATCAAGCTTCCACACATCATCACTCACCACTTCTCAATAGGTTTTAAAGAAAATATGTTGGAAATCATCCTTCCCCAGAGCTTTGAAAGAGCCCATACTCATAAGGGCAACATGGACTTCATCCTTTGAAACAAGTTAAGTCAAGTTAAGTATTCTTGCATGCGGAAACTTTAGAACATGAACCATATCCAGCACGTGAGGGTTAGCCAAGGCTTCAGAACAAAAGAGTCTTATAAAGCTTCACAGCTTCCTCCTGGAGAATGGTATCATCGGAACACCACAATCCACCGAAAAAGAAAAGCCTATAAATTATGTCTTTCGATTATTCATGGTAGTGTAAATAAATTTTGTATTCCTAGCATCATGAAACGTACACTCGTTTTTCTCCAAAATTTTGGAGCCATATAACATCTTGCATGAGGACTTCATTATACTCTCAACATAAATCATGCTCAAGCAAAAACAAAAACATTCTCATACTGACTCTCTAAACAAGTCTGAATACCTTCAATTTTGCGTTTCTTTTTTAAAATGTTACTGAAGATATTCTTGTTGAATAATATAGAATCTAGTTGAACTCCATCTAAACCATGAACCATATCCTGGCCACTCTTGTTCCAGGAATTAACAATGACATTTTTATAGTCATCATGAGTAATCCAAGCTGTCTCAAACCTGAATGGCTGCCTCCTGATCTATCAAGGGGTTTACCACATCTTAGAATAATTGGATTATGGTTTGAATAAAGCCTGTACAAGTGCTCCATATAGGTCTCAGGAAATTCAGTCTGACACTCTACCGAAAAAGATTCTTATTTAGTCTTTTAGCTAAATAACGATCTCCATTGATGTAGCGGTGCCATGTAAATTCCAGGACCTGATACCTAAGTCCATCATATTACAATTAGTTATCATCAAAATAAACCTAGTTGCTCTAGACCAGGAGAAAATACACCCCCGGTTTTTTAAAGGACTATAAATTTCATTGAAGTCTTGCATTAGAGTCCAAGGCCCTTGGACCTTCTTTCTCACCGATAAGAGATAATCCTAAAATTACTGCCTGATACAGGGGATGAGAGAGGTATATGCGGTTGTTAAGAAGCAACAATTTTGTCTCAAAAGTAATCTGGATAGTAACACAATGATTAGTAATATCAATTATAGTTGTTAGTCTAGTGGTGTTAGCCCAGTGGTGAGAGGGCGACTTGTTCCTTTCTCTGCACTCAGATTCAAGTTTTATTGTGCATGCTTGTCACCTCACAATACCTTACATGCTCATTGGACTTGCAGGATATTCAGTGAACCATGAAATTAATCGTGGTGCGTGCAAGTTGACCCGGACATTCAAGTTTATTGTGCACGCTTGTCACCTCACAATACTGTTTTATTGTGCACGCTTGTCACCTCACAATATCTTACATGCTCATTGGGCTTGCAGGATATTCAGTGGACCATGAGATTAGTCGTGGTACGTGCAAGTTGACCCGGACATTCAAATAAATTAAAAAAAAAAGAAATTATAGTTGTAGAGAAGTTACACCTCAAAGACAGCACCCATATACCACCTGTGTGGCCTTGAGCCTCCACAATTACAGCTGGGGAATAATCTAAATTGTTCCAGAACTTTCCAGTCCTAGCAAACCGAGTATGAGTTTCAATAATGACAGAAAATTGGATGAAACTTACTGACCAGGTCTCTACAATACTATCTGCTTTGTATGTTCACGGCACAATGAATATTCCAAGAGAGAACAAACATATCTTTAAAACTTGTATCATAATAAAAAATAAATAAACAGAGGAGAAAGGATTTAAAATGATTAAGGCCCCTTATCCTTCTGTATTGCCATATCCCTACCTATTCAAATCTGCTACATCAGGAGTTATCTCCTCCAGTCATGTTCTAACTCCACTATAAACAAATACAAGTTGCCTATGCCAGCCATATTATTAATTCTTGGATCACATGGGTTGTCCTCTGTTCCTACTATCAAATTTAGGATTTCGTATGGCTCATACTTCTTGCCTCCCCCAACAAAGTTTTCTCATGACTTCCAGCTGTGAATATTGAAGGCATAAAAGAGGTTAAACCCCATACACCTCCATTAGATTTGGTATAATTTTCTTATGCTTCCCCTTGTGTGTTCTACTTATGCCAACTTTTTTAGGCACAACTGGTTTATCTAAGGGTTCACCGGCAATAACCTTCTCTTTTCTCGATCTTTATTTTATTTTACCAGTGCATTATCCTCACTATTGGGCCTCCAATAGTACCCCCAATAATATGATCTACAACTTTTCTGTCATTCAGTCCACCACTTTTTCTACGATCAAAACACTCTTCTTCATATTATGTAAGGCGACATATCTATTATTATTATTATCTCCATAGCTCCCCTCTTTAGCACTCCTTGTAACCACAAACCAACCCCTATGAGTATCGATAGGGTTTGCAAGAATCTTGACCATTGATGGGGATACGTTACAACAAACATTCACCCCTCTCAACGCCGTCAGGTCCAGCTCTTTAGTTGTCAAACCCTTCACTATGACTTTGTGACGGTTTTCTGTTTTGTAGTCATTAGCCAGATGACCATAACAACCATATCTACTTCAGATTATATGGAGCAAATTAATTTCCCTCTTTCCATGTTAAGTGTATTCAAATCAACCTTAACTGGAGTACCAACTGATGTGGTCATACTAAGCAAGAAGCTTTCATCATAAAAGACAAGGTTAAGGCTAAGAATTATTATCCACACCATCGTTCAATTTATTTTGGCAATGGCCGAATTGAAATCAATAAACTAGTTACGCGCCGCCAAATAATGGTCAAAGATCATTCATGATCCTCTGTTAATAACCTTACGTACTTTGTCTTCTTCGATATCAAACTTCACCGGGAAGAAGCCATTGCCGACAATATCCATAAGCTCAGAGTCACCCATTAGGTTCCAAATCCCCCTCCGCCTCGATTTTATTTGAAAGAAACCAATTTTTTTACCAATAAGTTTAATGATTAAAGAGTCATGCCAAGGAATGCAAAGATCATTAAAAACTCCATCATCAACAAAAAACTTTAATAGTAATCTACTCATATTGTTATGCTCTATTCACACCAATTTGTTCTTTATTAGATTCATTTTGTCTCTTGTTTGAGGTGGTGATTTGATCCCAAAAACCTTACCCCTAAAAAAGCCTTTTCCATGCAACGTTTAGGGAGATGTTCCAATCCCATTAACGACATCAAGGGATTTCATGGGCATCGAATCAGTCGCTGGCACCGCTACAAAATCCTTCACGTTTATAGAGAGAGCCTAGATTTGTTCCCTTCGATATTGACTCTAAAGTTTACGTCCACAAATTGAGTGTTTCTTCGTCAATGGATTTCGACCAAATGGATTGAGAATGGACATCTCACGACGACTTCACTTATGGCAAGTTCAAAAATTTTACATTGTGGATTAAAAATTACTTATTGCATTCATCTAGACTAAAAATTATGGTGATTTATTTTTTTAACTCATTTTGATTTATGAAGAGGAAGCATAGAAGAGATAGAGGAATTGTTTTTAAATTTCAGGTTTTTTATTTATTTGATTAAAATCTTACATTTTTCTTTATGTGGCTTGTGACCTTTTTTTATTTTATTTTTCATTTTGTATCTATTTTTCTAATTTTATATATGAGACATACCACTTAAACCGTGACATACAGTAATTAATATAACAAAGGTGGATGGAAGGGCATAAATTTTAACAAAATTAGTAGTAGAAGGGTAAAATTCTTTATAAAAAAATGTACAAAGACATAATTATAGAAAAAATAAGAGTACATGGAGAAGACGGACATTAACCCATTAACCCCTCAAGAGAAGAAAAAAGTCAAATACTAAAATGAAGTATTAAATAATTAGATATTACATATAAATAAACAAAAAAAACAACTAATTAGGCCTAGAAAACACTACAGCTTGTGAGAAAAATGAATATGGATTGTAATAGTATTTTTGTTTTTTTTTTATTCAATTCATTAATTTTTTGTTTATTTCTTCATTCCGTAACGTTTCATCTGCTTTCTTGAAAGAAAAAAAATTTCCGTAACGTTTCATCTGCTTTCTTGAAAAAAAAAAAAAATAGCGGATGACTTCTTGTCCTCCCATTTATCATCAGGTACGCGAGCTTAGCCTTGTTAGCCTAAACGCGTGGCCTTCTTTTTAATAAGTCAGGAGCACTAACCCAACCAATCTCCGGCACTTAGCCTTTATTTGCCTTTATGTTCTTTTCTTTCATTTTTAATTATAATTCATTAAATTAATTAAAGATATGTTTAGGATATTGTTTTACCCAAGTTTAATAACACTGCCAACAAATTTCCATCAACAACTCACGAGTGATGTATTATCCTTATATTTTTTAATACATTCACATTAAAACAATAGGATATTATTTACTTGTAATTATGATAAAATGTCTAAAAAACAAATATTATAGTAAAAAAATGCTAATTTTTTTTATTTATACTTGCTCTTGTTCTTTTGAACATAAAACAAAAAAGAAAGGAAACATATTACCAAATTACTTTGTTTCAATAGATTTTATATCATTGGTCTTCTTATAAAAAAATCATTTCCATATAATTAAATTAAAAAAATTTAACAGCTCCCTGCAGCATGAGATAATTTATATTTATTTCTTAACTTCTCAGCTTAATCTCTAATTAGCCTTAATAATTTTTTTAATATTTATTGATGCATGTGATTCTTTATTTTTTTATTAAAAACAAATATCAGATTTTCATTTCAAAATTAAAAAAAAAAAAACACATTAACATCTTTACATTTTGTTTTCTATTTGTAGTAAAGCTCGGGCCAACAAGCTATCACAAATAAAGCTGGATAAAAAAAAATAACTTTAAATTCTCAATGGAGAAAGCACCCGATATTCATCATTTTGACTATTAATTATTGTCACTGCAGTAAGGAAAAGAGATCTAGCTAAACTACTAAAAGTATGTTTATTTTTATGTTTAAAAATATTTTTTAAAAATTTAAAAATTTTTTATTTTTTTACTTTAAATTACTATTTTTTTAGTATTTTTTATTATATTAATGTGATGTTCTCAAAAATAATTTTTAAAAATTAAAAAAATATATTATATTATTTTAATATATTTTTAAATAAAAATAATTAGTAACACTCTTAAACACCTTCTAGATACCTTCTAGGATGGGGGTTTAAAGAAGGACAATTGTGTATAAAGAGAAACAAGGACAATTGTGTACAAAGAGGGAGAAATATTAACACTGGCTAAGAGCATATTTCAAAACACGATTTCAAATTTTTTTAAAAAAAATTATTTAAAGTTAATTTTTAAATTGCTTTTAATATGTTAACATTAAAAATAAATTTTAAAATATATATATCATTTTAATATATTTATAAATAAAAAAAATACTTTAAAAAAACGAACTCTATCACAATTTCTATCACTCTAAAAATATTCTTCTGGACTTTCCCGCTACCTCGAAATAAGATAATCCCCGAAAACTGACCCTCTCCTTGTGTTTCGTTGCGTTTCCCTTGCAAGTCGGATAATTTATTCCTCTCATCAGTTCAGTCAGATATCCTCGTCTCAACTCGAAGAACGTCCTTCACCATCTCGTATGTTACAAAAGCAATTGCTATCGAAGGGACCACCTGCAAAAGGAAAAAACAAAAAGATCTCCTTAGACGATAATGATGAAGTAACAAGGGATTCCAAGTAAGATGATCAAAACTAAGTTACTACACTGACCTTCACTGAATTGGGGACCAAACCCTTGTACAATGCTCCAAATCCCTCATGACGAACTGTTTTCCTGAAGGCATCGATCATACCAGTATATTCAAGGGCTGTTTTGCCCCTCCCATCACCAGTGACAACTGAAGCAGCATCCTTCCAGCCAACCATCTGCATTCTTCGTCGGATCACATCAAGAGGATAAGCAACTGTCTGGCCAAAAGTTCCAGCAGCAGCCCCACATGCAAGCCTTGTCGCCACACCCAATTCATTTTCCTCAACTAGTCCAAACGGTTTCGTTTTGAGCAACCAGTCTTTTAAAGATTCATAAACAGCAAAGTTCAGACCCACATATGGTATCTGTAAACATCATACTTCAGGTCATTAGATTAAGTACCCACACAAATAATTCACTAACGGCATATATGAGGATTGAAAAAGAAATTTTGGCTTAGTATTTCATTGAAGAATAGGTGTGACCTAATGAAGGAAATGCAAACTCAAATGCTGATGATAACTTAGGTATCTATGCATAAGAACATAGACATCCATGGTGCAGATGCACAATCAAGGACTGATGAAAGCAATAGAAACCAAGCCATTCGCTTACAACTCCTATTACAGAAGGCAGCCAGCCTTTGTATAAAGCCCGGGGACCTTCCTCCTTAAGGACTGTTGAGAGAGCATGAGCGATTCCTCTATACTGGCGAGGAGACTTGTCTGTCTGCAAGCATTCATATGGACAATCTTAAGTCATCAATGGTAAGATGAGAAGGGGGTTTCACATGTTCACAAAGAGTAAGTATAGATCACAGCACCTGGACAGTTAGCCGACCACGAACCATGTCCATTGGGTAAGTTGCTGACATGGCAATAATTCCAGCACATGCACCAGCTCCAAGACGTAAAAGAGGAGTAAGCTGTGCATCATCTGCAAGAGGGAAACTAAAATGTGGTGCTTGTCAAGCTAGAAATCCATTAAGCTCAATGGCTATAATTTGAAAGCCAAAAATAGCTTTGCTAAATATAATCCCAGAGTTCTTCAGTACAACTCAAATTGATGATCATATTCCGTGCATGTGCAAAAATGATGACTAGTAATAATGCATGCATAAATTGACACAACTCTCACCAAACAGAAATAAAGGATAAGAATTCCATGTAAAAGTGATGAAAGGTCAGAAAATAGAAAATGGACTTCAACAGTAAACGGAGTTCACAGATATAATAGAGTAATATATAGAACAAAAAAGAGGGATGGCCATACCGTTTCCAGTTTGCCGCCTATAAAACCATAATATTCCTCTGTTTACAGAAAAAAAAAAAGCAAAACACAGAAAATTTATTTAGGCAGAGTAATATGTAGGAATGAATGTTGCTGGAAGCTGATAGATAGTAAATTAAAGAGAATGAAACACCAAAACATACTTGGATGCTTCCTCGTAACTAAAGAACTTGACTGCTGAATTTGGGACAATTCGAGCACAATTAGTGCCGTTTCCTTTAAACATCCCTCTTAAGCCCTCAGTTCTCCATATGTATTTCAAACCCTGAATCGTTCCATTGTATTTTATACTGTGAGGATTTTGAACCTGCATATTTCAAAAGTAAATTCACTCTAGTTAAACAGACGGAGTCATACATACAGAATGCTTATGGAGAAATTCTAAAATTAATATAAAATTCAGCATGCAATGTAATTGTCCATGATACAGAAAGTGAGAACTAAATGGCCAACTAATTAAAGCAAAAACTACCTGCAATAGAATTTTTAGTCTTTCTAATGGAGCAACAGCTGTACGTGACCTGAAACAATAGCGCATATAATGTCTTCAGTATGGAAAATGCTAACCCAAGTGTGCGTGTGACAAAAGATGAAAATTCAGTTGCTAATGTATAGTGATGATAGCTATTATCCATGTAATATCGAGACAGTAGTGCTAATTAATAAATAGGAACATCCTCAATCACACTGAATGATAATAAATATTAGACAACCATTCCTTAACTTATCTTCAATGGCTGCCACCTCTATTTTCACATGGATGCAGTCATTTTTTCATTAAATCATTTCTGTGCAGTCTCTTATCTACGCTAAAGTTGTTATTTTACATATATGCTGTCGTTTATTCACCATCCATGGCCCAAAACTCACCACCATAGACCAAAGTCAGTCTAAACCCGGTTTAACAGTCACGAAAATTAACGATATACTAAAATTTTCTCATTTGAAAACAAAGTAAATGATTCTGTGATGCCAAAACCAGGTTTCTTTTGCACTAGTATTGGTATAACTAAGTTATTTCTCAGTAATTGAACGATTCCGATCAATAAACAAGTGATAACAAGGAAGCAAAAATATCAGGTAACCATGGACTTCATTGGCTACACATAAAATCACACCTTAGTTATACACCTCACAATTCCCACTTATATCCAACAGACCACCAATGAACGCTGAATATTAACATTTTCACAAGCCCCTCATGATATAAAAAACCCGACATTTCATATGAAAAGTCAGACCTTTACCTTTCCGAGAAAAAAAATTAAATTTCAAAACAGGAAACCTATTATATTTAAAGTCTAAATTTATACATATTTTAATCCACAACAAAAAGGCACTATTTTTTTCTTTTCATGGAGGGAAAAAAGGCAAACCATAACAGTTATATATATATGTATAAAAAAAACAAAAGAGAGAAACAGTCCCTTTACAGGTATGGTTTGTTTTTTTCCTTTCAAAATTTATTTTTATTTTAAATTATTTTAATATACTAGTTTTAAAAAAATAAAAATAAAAATAAAAATTATTTTAATATACTTCTAATCAAAAATTATAAAACAATCAATGCCATATTTTCAAATACCCTAAAATTACATTATAAAACCAAATATAACCATCAATTCTCTCACGAAATTTATAGTAAACAACAATCCTTTCTTAACTAAAAATAAATAAATAAATAATTCAATTTTATCCAGGAATTAATTAAAATGACAGTCACTTCCACCCAAGAAAAAATTTTGAATCCTAAATAAAATAATCAATAAAACACCAAAAAAAAATAGTAAATAAAAAGAACTCACACTCCACCGGCAACACCACCAGCGAAAAGGGACTTGCAGATATTAAGAAGCGCAGTTCCCGGTGCTTTAACGCCTTCACGAGCAAGTTTAGCCTCTTCTGCGAGATTAACGATCGTAGAAACAGCAGACTCGCTTGTTTTCACATCCTCTGGTGCCATCACCCGAACCCTAGAAAAGTGATCAAAATTACAGCGTTGACTAGTGTGATTATTGATATTGATTAATTTGGTGAGGGTTTAATCAGCCTGCATTTGCTATTAGAGAAGGATAGAGAGAAAGATGTAGGCGACTGTTTTGAGTGAGAGATGAGAGGAGACGAGACGAGGGAAACTAATGTTCTATTTATAAGTGAACATTGCTGCTACGACCTTTCATTATTACTGGTTAATGTAATCGTGCCGCGGATGAAATATTTTTATTTTTTATAAAAAAAATTATATATATAATTTTATTCAATGTTTTTTTATAATTTTAAAAAAATTAAATTCAAATAAAACTTTTTATGTATATATATAATTAAATAAATTAAAGACTATGCATATAAATAAATAAGAAGTTATTAATAATATTTGAAAATAAAATTTAAAAAATTAAGAGATAGATTTTAAATAAAATATTTAATCTTGAAAAATAAGATATTCGTCCGCTTGTATTTACTAAATTTATTTATTAAAATAATTTTTTATTTACGCAAACACTAAGAAAAATATAAATATAAATTAAATTGATAGAAAAAAACATCATGAATATCAGAAGCATTATTTGAAAATATTTTTTTATTTTTAAAAATAAAACTCATCCATTCAAAAAATAAAATACATACATACATACGTGTGTGTGTTTATATATAAAAGAAAAACTCTTGAGATTTAATCATATAATTAAAAACACTAAAGAAAAACTCTTGAGATTTAATCATATAACTAAAAACACTAATCATTTAAAAGAAACTCTTCAAACAAAATAAAATAAAAAATAGTGATTTAAATATAAATTAAAAAAATTTAAAGAAAACAATTATAAAAAATAATCATTGCATTGTTGGCACTAACAAGCTAGACTAGCTCGCTTGGCTATTTTATTAGGGCACACACGGGTCTATCCTGAAAGCTTCTTATAATTGGGCATTTACTAATAAAAAATTAGACAACATGTTTTATTATTAGTCTAAATTCCAGCAATTATGGTGGTCGAAAAATTATGAATTAAGTTTTTTAAATTAAAAACTTGTTTTTGACCCAAAAAAAGATATAAAACACTATATGAACCATCAAAAACCTATCTATGGCTTAAAAAACCTAAAAAAACCTCTCAAAAAATTGAAATCAATCCAAGTTTATATTTTTTTTTATGAACTTTAAAGTTAAAAAAACACTTAATATGAACTCCCTCGTCAGAGGAACTATTTAACATAAATATCATCTATTTTAGTAGTTTAAACTGGTATCAATGATATTTTTTTCTCTACTATCAAAATTCAATAACCTCCCTCTCTCCTCTCTCAATCGAAAACTAAAAAATAAAAAAAATAATTGTTTATACCAAATTTATATTAAAAAAATATTAAAGTATTGAAATTCTATAACCTATGTAATTTTTAAAGTCCAATGATCATAGGGTATCTTTTATGAGACTTATAGCATGTCATTTATATTTGGTATATTTTTCATCCCGGTTTCTCCTTTCAATCTTACTTTTTTATAAAAAATAAAAATCAAAATCAAATGATCTTTAATTACTACTAAATTATCAAAATAAAAAATCTGAAAAATAAATAAAAAAACATAAAAGTTTGCATTGCTTATTTATAGTAATGTGTGAGATGATAAATAGTAAAATTTTACATGCAAAAAACACCATATCTTTTAGTGTAATATTTAATTATTATTATTATTATTATGGGTTAATGGTACATTCATCATTTTTACTCTTAATCTTATAATACTTGGTACCCTCTTTATTTTTTATAGGTTCAAATATCCTCTCAGGTTAATGGTTAAGATGTGTTAAAATAAAGTCATGTTTGACATTGTAATTTAATCATGTTTTTTTTTAAAAAAATGACATTGTAATTTAATCATGTTTTTTTTTTAAATTATTTTTTTAACTTTAAATATTTTTATATTTTTAAATTGTTTTGATATGTAAATATAAAAAATATAAAAAATATTATTTTAATATATTTTCAAACAAAAAATATTTTAAAAAATAACATCTAACACAATCTCAATTATATCCTAAATTCATTTTTTAAGTTATAAATTTGCAATAGAAATATTTTCTGATTTTACTAAAATTAAGTATGGAATTTATTTAAAATTTGATTAAAAAAACTTGATGATCATATATGAAATTCAGCATGATAATATTAAGTTTATTAAAAGTCGATGATTTTTGGTTTTTGTACTTGTTGATTTTCCTTTCCATTATTACTGGAGATGATGTTAAAATTGTAATTAATTGTGATGTATTCTTGACAAATTGACGCCAATGCCACATTATTGAGTGTACCAAGTAGTGGGATTTGACGTGATATCTAATGGCAATTTGATGAGATGACGAAACGAGGACTAGAATTGGATGTCGGGGATGAGATTAGAATAATGAATAGTATAGAGACCAAATTAAGACTAAATTGAGAGTAAGGTGACAAGATGCATTAATAACCTATTATTTCTTGGTTCACTTGCCATTAGACTCGCAAGGGACCTTAAAAAAATAAAAATAAAAACTCACTGGCTAACTATAATCTCATTTACATTAAAATAAAAGGAGGGTTTTTTTTTCCTTCAAAAGCAATTAGATGGGAAAATATGGCTAACTTTTTAAGGAAAAATAATTTTATAGCGTTTTTTGGATGCCTTTTCACCTAAAATGGAAAAAATGCCAAGGTTTGACTTGTATAGTTATATCCAGCTCCTAGACAGAGGAATTGCAAAAAATTTCACTAATGCATGCATATAATATGGTTTTCTTATCATCTTATCATATATTTTTTTAAGAAAAAAAAAAGAGATAATATTTCACTGATGCATGCATATAATATGGTTTTCTTATCATCTTATCTTATATTTTTTTAAGAAAAAAAGAAGATAATATATCACCAATGCATGCATATAATATGGTTTTCTTATCAACTTATCATATATTTTTTTTAAGAAAAAAAAAAGATAACATTTCACTAATGCATGCATATAATATGATTTTCTTATCAACTTATCATATATTTTTGTAAGAAAAAAAGAAGATAATATTTAACTAATGCATGCATATAATATGGTTTTCTTATCATATATATATATATAAAGGAAAAGGAAGATAATATTTCACTGATGCATGCATATAATATGGTTTTCTTATTATCTTATCATATATATTTTTTAAGAAGAAAAAAGATAATATTTCACATATGCATGTATATAATATAGTTTTCTTATCATCTTATCACATATTTTTTTTTAAGAAAAAAGAAGATAATATACCCATGCTCTTGTTGTGGTGTTGGTGTGTTGCTTTAGGATCACTTTGCACTCATTTGGAGGTCGAGCGGGTCTTATCTAATCATTCTGTCTGCGAGGCTTTCGGAGAAATCAAGTCATTTCATATTATAACAAAAAAAAAAGCAAAAAAACAAAAAAAAAATCGGTTTTTACCATCTGACATACATGGCTTAAGTGATTCTTGGCTTTTAATTTAACCAAGATCTTGAATTTGATCAAAATTATGATTATTGATATTGCTGCCTGGAGATTAACTTTTTTGTTCTTGAGTTGCCGTAACGTCAATAGCGATTATGAGACACAAGTAATGGGTACTTTGAAGTTTCAGGGCCACAAGTTTTTGTGGATTGCCAATGTCAAATACTTGCTGTCCATCCAAGCGGAAGACCAGTACTTCCCTCTTGATTTTTTAATGATGAAAGTCAAAAGATATGGTCTTGTGATGACGAGTACGTGGCCCTTACTTTCCCGATACTTCTCGACAGATGGGCAATTTGTAGCTTCAAAAGATAGAGGATTGACACATACAAAATTCAGATATGTTTTCTGAATATTTTATATTACAAATTTCAATATTATTCGTTTTATTGAATTAGATTAAAAAAAAAAAAAAACCTAAACCTCCTACGAGAATTATTGTTTACCAAGACGACTCGAGATACTATTCCTACTTTTAAATCAAAAAAACATTCCAACAAGGCACCGGCGGTAATGTATTATTTTCACTATAATATAATTGTTTTTTTATAAATTATATGAGATTAGATTAAATTTTTTATTGTTTATTGCATAATAAAATTCCTAATTTAATTTTAGAACAAAAAAAATTAATGACTATCATTCAAGGGTGTCTTGATCTTTTTAATTTTCTCAAAATAAATGATTTTAAAAATAAAATCAACATAATTCTTTTACAAGGGTTTTTTTTTCATTTTATATTAGTTTTATTGTAAATTTAAAGGTTAGTTTTATTGTAAATTTAAAGGTTATTTAGTGATATTATTATAATTGACATTTATTAAATGTTATTAAAAAAACTTGTTACATATGCATCGATTTATAAACAACCCTTGTACCATTCAAACAACATGTGTAATATTATCTGCTCACCAATCATTATTTTTTTGTTAAAAAATAAAATAAATTATATCTCGGTATTTACTTAATAGTTTAAATTTTTAGATTGAATTGGCTCTTTGACATGATATTAAAGCCTTGATGATCAAGTAGTCACAAGTTCGAATCTCACTATCCTTATTTATTTGATAAAAATTAAGCACGAGAAGCTTAAACTTTTGAGTTAAATTGATTTTTTGATATGGTGTCACGGTCTTGATGATCAAGCGGTCATGAATTTGAATTTTATCATTCTTATTTATTGGATAAAAATTAAACACAAGATAATATGAGTATTTATAAATTTCAAGTTTAAAAGACATTCATTTAAAAAAATATATTAAAAGATAATATAAATCATATATAAATTTTTATGTTGAATTAGTTAAGTGATAGTTTTATGTTTTTAAGTTCTTAACACACGCCAAATCAACATTTTCCTGGCTTACCATTAAACCATCAGAGAAAGAACAAGGATTTTGAAATATTGCAAGGAAGGAATATGAAACCTTGGTCTTCTCTTTTACCACAGGTTCAGCTCTAACTCTTATAAATGGTTGTTCTTGAATGGGAACGATATTCTGGAGTCATATCGAGGCTAAGCATAGCAAGATGGTTCGCCAATATTATTGTATACTTGATTAACTAAAATATTGGTCAAGTCATTGAGGGTTTTTTTTAATAAAAAAACAGCACCTTCAATAAAAATAAAAATAAAAA